GCGGGGGGGAAATTGTCCTGATACCCTAAACCTTGTCATATTTGCAGGCAGTTATTTATTAATCGGGTACCTTGAACTTGAAGTTCCATAGATCAGCTAAAAAACTAATTGAACCCGGTAATATTCAAGTTCAATATTTTCTCACTCGAATAAAATTGACTTCTCTCTAATTAAATGACCACTATACTCTTCGGAAAATGGACATGTTTAGTCTTTAAAATGAAAACTGAAGGAAGGACAATAAGGGCAATTGTCATCATATGGTATCTGCTCTCCTTTTCAGGGTTTATATCTCTTTCTTTTATTTTGGGGAAAATATGTCAACGTTGTTTCTGTTTCTATCAACTAAGAGAGTCTGGTAGAATGCACAGTGTTGGTGTTTATTTAGATATATAAGAATATATAGATATATCAGGCTGGAAACAAAAAATAACCAAAATTAAAAAAAAAGCTATATAATTTCCTTTAGCTAGTTTATGTTAAAAAATTACCTATAACAGGGAGAAAAGTATTGCAGCTCTCCAGCAAAGTTTATTATAATGGTTAGTGATTTACCAGAAAGCTTCCATTGTGTAACTACAGACTTGACATTTAATTTGGAATATTTCAGTTTCGAAGGTATGCCTAGGTAAAAATTCGTTCTTTTTTCAAAAAAACTCCGATCTCATATAAGATTTGTGAATGGAGAAGTGTGTAGTCAGGTGTGTCGCTACCAATTAACTGACTTCCATGTCTGTTGCGCTGCTACATTATGTAATATGCGGTGATTTAATTGGATAGTGTACCTTTGGGCTGGTCAATGCTTGGCTCAGGCAAATCTTGGTTCTGTCAAAAAAGTATCCGTATGTCGGCAACTATTACATACAAAAATTTGAAATTTTGCATGCAAGCGGTCAGTTTTGCAGTTCGTAAAATGAGCTAAGTAGTGCTTTACAAGTTTGTTAATTTGTGGCAGAATGGCGCGAAAAAGACAGACATTACCAGACAGATTACAGCGCCAAACGGAACGGTCCGCACAGTATTATAGAGTAATGCCCTGACTAATGTAACTTCACAGAGGTCACACCCAATACATCGAAATCTAATCTCCAGGGTACAGGACGCACTATCTTTCGGGATACGCTGCTGCAACTAAACAAAAGCCACCCAGTCCGTTCAGAACGAGGGGTAAATTGCCACCAAAATGCGTTTTTCAAGGCCCTTAACGAACACCAAACTGGTTTTAGCAGGTTAGAATACCAGACGACCTCCGAGGTACCCACCGTAAACAACAAAACATCGTCGTCTGTTTCTCTAATGAATTGGGGGCCATGACCGTTTCTGGGTAGAACACTGAAACCGCGTGGCTTTCTTTATTGAGGTCAGGTTTCACCTGTACCGCCCAGCTAGTCAAAACAGAGTTTACAGACATCCAGAAGAGGCCTACGACGAAGCATGTGCCGCGTCTAAAGTGACATGGGTCATTGACAGCGTCAGTATTTGGAGTGGATACCACATTGGTGCCAAAACACCAATGGTAGTCATTGACGAAAACCTGAACCAGATCAAATAAAGGAATAATCTGGGAACCACTTGACTATCATTTGATAGGGGGGACCTTAGGAACAATTTTAGGTTGCACGGTCAGATAACCGCTTCACACAGAGCACTTTTAATAGCAGATAACTTATAGAACCAAGGGAATGAGCAGCTACCCTGGTCATCAAAATCGCCACATTTGAACCGCATAGACAATATGTGGGTAAGCCATTACTAGCCAAATCAACTGCTTACATGCCCTACATCAAAACTGGACCAAATTGGACAATTTTGGACCGATGCCTGGAATAATATTCCAGATTGAACTCTAAAAACCCAACCCAAGGAATGCCTTGCCGCTTGAGAGCCCTGGTTACAGACAGAAGAGGGCAGGCGTAACAGCGACCGTTACTGTGACTAGGCACTGACATGAGGGTCCTTTGTGTAGCGTATAACTCTTTTACAGACGTTAACTTGGAAAATATAGAGAACCAAAATATCTCTTTTAATGGATGTCGTATGACATAGAATAGGCAATGCATTTCTGTTTGCTTCACTGTCGAATTCAACCAATGAGCTGATGTCACCATGACATCAAAGAGATAATTTAAAGTTATTAAAACACGATTTTAATCCTTATTTTCATTTATCAGTCAGCAAAATAGGAAAAAACTGATGAAAAATGACTTGGAAAAAAATATTCCATATTAAATGTCAAGTCTGTACTAAACATATGGGTAGGAATGTTTTACAAAATATGCTGGTATGATTAAGGTTAAGAATTCTTTGAGAAAAAAGTTAAAAGTGGTATTTGTATTCACCACACACAGCCCAAAGCTTATAACAATTCTAGATTTTTTAGATACTCAGGTCAAAAATGATCCACTAAGGTTATATATATATATATATATATATATATATATATATATATATATATATATATATATATATATATATAGCCATGTCATGTATAAGATCCATTCTAGTAAAGGGAAAAATTATATTGTGTTGTCAAATTATGTAAGAAATAATCATATCGTAAATAACGAAATTATGAACATTTGCTATCATTCCTGATTTATCGTTCAACTCAACATTAATCTTTTACCTGCCTTCTCGCTGGTTTTCGTATGGTAAATAAAAACCAACACAAATCTCAGATCAATAGGTGAGTCACACACTTACATGAACAACCTCGCTGAACAATAGCTACACGAAATAACAATCGATCATAATGCCAAAAATTACTGACTCACAAAAAGTTTCACACGTGTATTTCAAATAGCTTCTTTCAATAACAATCGATGGTGATGTCAAAAAATTTTACTGACTCACAAAAAGTTTGCTCTTCTTGGAAGTGTAAATTTAGACTGTCTCCACACGTATATTTCAAATAGCTTCTTTCAATAACAATCGATAGTGATGTCAAAAAAATTTACTGACTCACAAAAAGTTTGCTCTTTTTGGAAGTCTAAGTTCAGACAGTCTCCACACGTATACTTCAAATAGCTTCTCTAATAACACTCGGTGGTGATGTCCAAAAATTTTACTGACAAACAAAAATTTTGCTTTCTCGTAGAGGTCTAAATTTAAACACCCGCCGCAATCGCAGTTACTATAAAAGCGGCAACTTTTACACAAAAGCCCCATATTTCCAGAGACCAGCCGTGAATCGGATTATGGCAGCGCATGAAGGATCGCTGACGAACCCTCATGATAAACATGGCTACGAGATATTACCAATCTCCCAAAGAGATTTGGCAAAAAAACAAACATCTGTCCCTTTGATTTTGCCGAACGACTTTCAGTATGACCCGAGAACAGGGGTAGTTACTAAGATAAAGAAAGCGAAAAGAACCCACCTTGTCGTGGTCGAAGAGGCACTGGAGTTGCTGCGAGGCGTAACAGATCCGGTCAGTGTACTAGGGATTTGTGGAGCAGCACGGACAGGGAAGTCTTATTTTCTGTCAAGGTACATGTACTTCGTATGTAAATTATATAGTCATTTTAATCTGTTTTGGGCGCTGTTTCATGGTCATGTTTGATAGGTTCACAGCAAATGTCACACACCTGTTTGGGTCAAATATAAATCTTATAAAAAGGGCAGAGCTCGATAACTCGAAATCATTTTGCGACCGAGCGCTATATCACCATCGCTATTATTTATTTGCGACAAGTAAATGCCGTTGCAACTGCCTTTGCGGATGCATAATTTGTCATTGCAATGCTTTCGAGAAATCGAGCCCAGGCCCAAACAATTATAATCAGAAGCGGACCAATGTGTAACAAAAACAAATAAAACAGTGTAAACTTTAAAAAAAGTGTTTCTATTTCTTCCTAGTGCATTCATTTTCTTAGTGTATAAATACGAAACATTGCATATGATCTACCTTGTGATATGTTTATACGCCTCTCTCAATCGATTCACTCATGACTTCAAATGCCAATTTACAGAATGGTTGGAGAGCACGATGCGTTTGAGCTTGGGAACGAAATGAACGCTAAGACATTAGGTATTTGGATGGGTACAAAGGTACTGAGAAACAGAGAGAAAGGATTCACCGCCATTCTGTTAGACAGCGAGGGAACCGGTAAGTATATATTATGTGTAAAAAACGTCATTATTATTTTGGCATTTAGAAAGAAATGCTGGATTCCAGTGTGAAATTACCTGAGTTTAATCGGACCAAACTCATATTTGCTGATAACAGTACACATTAGCACCAAGTGGTTTATTCTAATAAATTAAAGAGTAAGAACAATGGTTTGCTTTTATTTTCAATTTAAAAAGAACGCTCTTTATACTACCACATGTTGAAACCCCGGTTTCCCTACTTGGTATGGTGACCTAATTACATCGCATTGATGTTGCGCATTCTCGCCTGTAAAAATAATATCCATTCGTAGGATTTTTGTTCCTGGATTTACAGATGCTTTTGATTCCGAAGCTGCCAATGATATCGGTATATTGGTGATGACAGTGTTGCTTACATCACAGCTGATTTATAACACCAAGAACGTGCCAATGAAAAGGGATACAGAAGAACTCAAGTAAGCCTTTTGAAATTAATCTAGTCCACCATTGTACTTACAAAGGTGTTTAGACATGGGGGAGAATCCTCATCTAAATGGGGTTAATTATGATCGTCTGAGGCTTTTCGTATTCTTGTTTTTTGTACCTTGACCGGTACCTGCGTCCGTCGTCGCCGTGCAGTTTCAGAGATAACACAAGTGGAAAACCATTCAACTTTTTATCAGCAAACGCACAGTACTGATGAATATTCACAAAATACAGGTCGATTTTGAAAATCAGCTCGGTCGGACCTTTTTTCTTACAGTAATGCCGTTTTTTTTTCTGTATATAAAGTACTATATGCAGAACATACAACACATTTCAAGAAAGACTAATCCGCCTATTGTCTTCAAACGTACCATTAAAGGAAAACTATGACACTTATGATCCTCAAACTTAAAGAAAAGATTCACAGGACTGAAATATAGCTTCATTTGGAAAACCAGGCTGTATGCATTCTATTCTCGGAAGTTGTTATTATTATTATTTTTTTGTTTTGTTTTGCGGAATTTTTTTTTTCACAAATTGGCGTTTTCAACTTGGAAAGCCATATTGTAGTTACATTTTCTGATTATCCATCATACATGTTGTATATAAGCAAATATGGGTGGTGATTAAGCTGTTAATCATTATAACAAAATAACAAAAAAAAAAAAAAAAAAAAAACTTTTGTGCACTAACACTCAAATGCTATTTAAAGAAAACGTGTTACTCATTAAATTGCTGAGTGATTTTAAACCAGAATGGAGAAAAGAACTACAAGCATCATGGGAACTCACCCGGCAGCACCAGCTTTTTTTTACCTAGCAACCGTAGACTCATTTTAGTTAAAACTTTCAATTTAAACTGTTTTTATCTGAGTGCAGTGACATATTTTGTCTTTTAATCCTAATGCTTAATTTACTTTCTGTATTACTTTTACTTTATATATTTATCAGACTTTGCTCCAAAGGAAAATAATCTTATCTAAACCTTACCTATCTTATTCAGAATGCAACCTTGTGAAATTTTTCATTTTTCTCATTCTGGCATTCCAATGTGTGACTTGGAATTCTCCTGAGCCTGAAATCTTATGCTAGTTACATATTCCTTGGATCCATGTTACCTGATGTGCAGTATATACGGTAATGTGCCATAAAATTCGAACGACTGTTAAATTTCGAACGTTCTTAAAATCGGCTGTCTGTAGTTTTTATGCACCATGAATTTCGCAAGTAAGCACTTTTGCGCGATCTTGATTTTCGTGAATTTCGTACACCTTAAAATATGCCATCGGGCTATTTTCGCGCTCTTAAAGATTTAACAGCCGACAATGTTGCCCTAGCGTACCTCTATCTGAGTAATACGTGTGCGGCCCAAGGTGCTAAATAACAATTGGTACAGTTAACTTAAGACGCGAAACGGTATCGTCATCACCATTCATTAAGATAACAGGTGAATCAATTAAGAGTTACACTGCCACCCTATCGGGGGGGGGGGGGGGGGGGGGGGGGTGGGGTTTCATCCGGGGCCCCCCC